TTATTACTGTTCCTTAAACGTTCAAAGGCAGTCGGAACATTCAGGGCTTCACCCTGATACGAGCAGTCTTGTTATGTTCTGAATTGAAATCAGAAACACAATTCTTAAATTTTTACCATATGCTATCTTGAAGTTGTGTGTTTGCTCGGTTGATAAAATATCACCAAAAGCAAACATTACGACATATGTTGTCTCTTTCTGATTGGTTTAACCAACAGATGGAATGTTGAAAATATGAAAAAGTACGGTATATAAGCCAAGCGAAAATATACCAAACGATCCCCATCACCATTACTATTACTATCATGTTCTATATTTGATGTGTGTCTCCTATATTTAAAATAATAAACTTATTTACGAGTGAAAGAAACTTTGTCTGCTGAATATGAATAGGAAATTCTTAACAACATTCAGAAAGACCCCTTATTCTAACTAGCTGCGATTTGGTCGATCGCCATAAGTTAAGTTAAGTTAGTTTGGAATAATTAATAGTTCTCTTGAAGTCCTTACCTTTTTAAATAATCTTGGTTCAAATGCAATTCGAGAGACTGGAACGAATATTGCAATACACATCTCTTTATTCGATGGACTTCAACATTGATCCGTAATGTAGCTGAACGTATTATTGTAGGTGTTGAAGTTAGTTTGTCGATCAACATTTATCTTAAGTAAACATCAGAGTTTGGCAGGGGTCCAAAGATTCGAATTGAAGGTAGCTGATTGCTGTTTTGTTTATTTGGTGACTTTAGTGGATGAACTTCACAGCTAGTCACAAGACAGAACATCGTTATGTATGATTTTAAATCAATGGATTTAATCAAGCAACGATAATGCTTTTTCATGGACTGTTAAGCAAAGTTTGGGTTAGTGCTAATGCTTGAAATTCAAGCATGATATAGATAGTCGGTAAAAATCATTTATAAACACTTGCTTAAAAACCATTGGAGTATGTTTTCTGGCCAAACATTGCTATGATGAAGAACGATTCATGTCTTCCCGGCACTCGAAAAAATAGCGGAATGCAAGGGCTTGGGTAAATTTGAGTAATCGAAACAATAGACTTAGCCGTAAGTTTTATGCATTATGGAGAATTGTGATGCCCTGAGTAAAACCAAAAAAGTTTCAGGGATTTTCAGTGTTATGGGAAATTTTACAATTGGCCAATTATTTTTATAACTTTTGAAGAAAATAACGGATTATATATAATTGTGAAGGTTTTTTATTCTGACCAAAGTTTCAACGAAAAGTTTTGCACCGATAAAAGTATGAACCGTTGAATTCATGTAAAAATGTTTTTATTACCTGGAATCAATCTTCAAGTTCTGAGGAAATTGTCAATTAGTCCACTTTCGGGATTGGTTTATGCGCGCTTTTAAGGAGTTATCTATGATGATGAAAACATAAGCGCAATTTTTTCGAAATTGATTTTCGTCAAGCTAATTGTCCTTACTTTCGAAAAAAGTGACCAAATATTTGTGCTTGGAATGGTTTTTTCTTCGTCAGACAAACTTCTACTATTTAACTAGCAATTTTTGACGGGATATAGCTCTTTTTCATCCCCCCACCTGCAATTTGATAAGATTAAAATGTTTGTTCACATTATCCCATGGTTTCAAAACTTGGCATGCTGACTATTTAGGCCATGGCAAACTTAAGTGGTCCTCATGTTTTTTCCTCATGTGGTCCTCATGTTTTTACGCCTAGTTACACCAAAAAGATGACGCTTATGTGAGGTGAGAATAAAGGCAAATTTTTTTCATCTGAAATCTATTGAAATCCTAAGCTCAAATGTAAAAAAGATGAATCACTTTTCAGCATTTTTGTTAAAGTTATGAGGGTTTGATAATTGCCAGTTTAGCCAATTTGGGATAATTAACGCTCGAAATATTCCGTGCTTTTACCCTGTGAGCAGCGGTTTAATCTGGCTCAAAATACAATCCAACTGCATTTGAGGCTAGCTATTTAGAACTACTAAAATGTTAGTATTTTACTTAGCGTGAGGGGGAGTAATTTCAAAAAATCTGAAAAATCAATTATTTTTTGTTTTCGAAATTTTTGAGTTTACTTAGAAGATGACTCAACCAGCGGACCATAAGTGGTAGTCAAAACACTCAGGGGTTTTTATTGGCATGAGCTTTTTAATACTGTTTAATTTTGGCTGTTTGGGGAAGAAAATTTTTTTTTTTTTTTCGAGTTGCCGTTGTAAAAATGTCTACATCCTAATTCGTTAATACTACAATTACCACTCAACAACAATTACCAACAAAAATCACGATTCATACAATCATGAACCGCCCTCAAAGACGTCGATTATGTGAACTCATACCCTCAACATCCCCACAACTAACACCACCACTCAAAATTGCGCGCATTACTCTATCATCCCATTACTCCTCAAACAGTCTTCGGTTATTACAATGGAATTTCATTGTTATCGGTGGTAAGGCGCCTGAGTTTTTTCTCTAACTAGATACAAATAAGATCTACATTGCTTTTCTGGAAAAGTCTCCGTGGCTTACTTCTACATACCTCCGGAATCCTCATACCCTCAAGGCTCTCTAGGGTCTATAAACATCAACTACTGGGCTCAAAAGAACAACACTTGGTGATGTTAACGCTCACAGCATTCTCTGAAGTTCCAAATAACCAGAAGACTTAGAGCACTTTCGATATAAAACGAAATTATGACTTCGATCTATTACCGGCTTAACTTGAAAGAAAAAATCGGTTCACCCACTTGCAACAAACCTTGTCCCGTGACTTTTGTTCTTTCTTGCCGTCGGGAGCCACAAATTTGTCTAAGCTCGGATCAACTACTCGTCTTTTTTTCAGTTGACGCTATTCCTCCGCTCTTAGTTTTCCGATACAAAGCTCCATAAACGCACTACTTACGCTGCAGCCGAAGCCAATTCCCGGAAACATGCGCTCCAGACGAAGCCGAAGACTTTATTAACTAGATTCACTGACCCCACCGACCCTTAGGTTACTGACCTCAATATTTTTTTTCAGCCGAAGAACTAAGGTAAACAAATACTGGAAACTAGTTTTCTCCTTAATCAGTTCACGACCCAAAAAATTCAAACCACAATGTATTTTCCAAGTCCCTCGCACACCCATGTCAATTTAAAACGCTTTTATTGTTCGACTCACCCTCGTCACTGCTATCAAAACTTTCAAAACGGAATTGTAAAATTGTGAGAACTGCTCAACAGCTCTCACTAACAAATGCGCCTGTTTTATAGTGAAAAAGTAGAGAAACGCAAAAATAGCACGTCAATCTTGAGCTTTTGTTACTGTAGATTAACAATATTTCATTTAAAACATCTCAAGGAAACTGCCCTAGAGTACCCTATTTAACTCAACAACGTTTGTGTACACGCTTCGCATTTTCCATTCATTTGGAAACCTTCCCCTTGTCAAGCAGCTAAGAGACCTTACTCTTTCCAATTTTCTTTTTCCACCTGTTTGCCGACTTATTTTATCGAATTTTTCCCTCTACTCAACGAACCAAAAACTCGAAAGGCACCAACACGACTTCCGCGCCTTGCATTTGACCAAAAATATTTGAACTTCCCTCGTGTCAATGAAAAAGGACCCTCAAACAGAACCGTTCTCGAATCCCTAGATCTATCAAAAGCATTCGATTGCGTGAACCATTCTTCAGTGATACAACTTTATCGTTACACTGACGAACCCTTTTCCCCCGATCCTATCAGTTGCTGGCTAAGCAACCAGCTGAACGGTAGATAGACCAGAACCCCATACAGATATCATCTCTCCCCAACACTTTGCCAATATTTTGTCTGCAATTTTCCTTCCCACTCGACATCAAATCCAAAATATCTTGCGCGGAAAATTGAATTGTCAACAATCAAAGCACCTATATCAAAATTTTATCTTCCGCTCTCTACATTTAACTAGACTATTTACCTTCTCTTCTACTTTTAATTTTTTTTAGTCCTCTCATCCAAATGGTCACTAACCCTATTCTTGATTAGACTCAAAAGACTAAAAAACTCACCCAAGCTAAATTTTTAAACTTTTTTTATTAGCTGAATTTTCCAAAATTCAAGGACTCAACTTAAACCCATTCCTGGGATAATCCGTACGCTGCAAGACTCAGGCTATTTGTATCAAAACGCGAAATACATTATAAGAAAAGGCTTCTAATAATGTATAGAGCGTTGGTTAAACATGTCTTAGAATACGCTACCCTAACCTGGTCACACACAGCAAGCTCTACCTCCATCCAAAGACTACTCTCATTTAATACTACGAAAGTTACCATCTATGCAATCGCCTTGTTAGCGACCCCATCTCCAGCCAAATAAACCCTCACTGCAACGACACAAGCGGCCTCCTGTCTGTCTTTGTTGACCCTAACGAGTACACCGAGAATGGAGCCAAAACCAGTATTCTTTAAGTACTCCACAAACGAGTTTGTTCGAACTACATTGGAATAGTCCCTATAATCAAATTACTTGCCAAAAACACCCCTCTAGTATCTCTAACGGAACTATCTCTCAGTCGAAAAACTCCTTATAGCCTCACCCAACTACGCTCAGGCTTCTGCCTAATTCCTACTTGGTGCTTAAATTTCCCGAGTTCTCAAACGCGCCACGCGATACACATCTTTCAAAGTGTCCTCAAAATTTTACTACACCACTACTTTCAATTTTTGGTCCAATCCAGTCAAGGTTTCCTCTGTTTGGAGCAGCCCTCAAGCACATCCGTCAAGCTGGGTGGGGGTGGGGGTAGGGGGACGGGACATTTGGTGCAGTCGAATATTAGTAAAGTGACACTTTGGAATTTATTTACGTCCCTCGCTTAAATAAACAAAACATTTCTAGCTCTTGGTAAACAATTTAATCAGAGAAGGTGCCACTTTTTACCGAGGGATTTAGCGTTAGCCTTACTATACTACTGTGATCATAATTGATGCGATACGATCATTGGCTCTTTGCCAGGTTCAAATGCATGATGTGTCAGTTGTGTTTCAGTCGAGTGACGAGGAAAGTGAGTGTTCTCTTGATGCGCCCACAACGGCCTACCTTAGCGAAGATGTAAGTTAATATACTAAAAAATATACGGAGCATATGTGGTTACCATTTGCGAGATGGTTCTCCATGTATAAAGTGAGACAAAAAAAATTGCTTTCTCCCATGTATCAAGATAGGCTATAATTCTATTGGAACATATGTAGTTCCAGGCGATAATTCTATAGGAACATATGTAGTTCCCCATTGGGAGCAAGTAATTTTTGAGATCGTACCTCTTTGATTGCTTCCGGATAAACTGCCAGTAATTAAGGCAACATCATGAAGGGGAGTAGATTTTGGATATCAAGAAAGTGGGGAATGTAAATGCTCGGGTTTCTTTTTTTATCTGAAATTTTCAGAAGAATTTTTTTCTCTCGGGGGTCCATCTATGGACGTGCGCCTTCTCGCACCACTGTGTTGATCCAACACGACTTTAGTTAGACTGCTCGTTCTATGTAACGCGCTTTGTTTTTGCGTGGTGACTTACCCCGCACTACAAATTGGTGGCAGGACAATCTACTCTTTTCCAAACTACCCTATACTATTCTACCCTATGGCATTATATACCCTATACTAATCTGCGCTACATACCAATCCACACGCCGGATTGTGTCGATTTGCCGCATTACTAATGTAATCTTTCAAGGTGGTAATAAGAATCGAAATGATATCAGCACGTGTTATTTCATTTGAGTCCAAATTTTTAGACTCAAATTGAGTCTTTCACTTAAGCAAATTGTTCCAAAAATTTCAATTGCAGTGTTAGCCTCAAATTCTGAAATTTGTCTCATTTAACAGGTTACAATCCCACTTTTTCAATATAAAGTACAAAAATTAAACAAAAACTAAACTAACTCATTATGTCAATTTTATTTGGATTAACAATTACCAAAATTAGTCAGATTTCTTGGGGTCTAACCCAACAAATGCGGAAATCGCCTGTTACTGATGACCATGAGTGTTCCAAGACACAGTAATCAAAGATATGGAACATTCACTGGAATTATTCGAGGTGGGCTCCCATAAATGCAAAAGAACAGCAATATTAAGTTTTTTCTGGTCGTTTAGCTGCAAGGCTTCTCGTGCAAAAATTGAAACAGGAAATTTGATTAAGTACCAGCCAATAACAGCTTTATAGCAAACTGCCTGCGATCTGTCTCCGAAGAAAAAGCCGTTCAGTTTGCTCTGCCTTGTCGGTCGGCGATTAACCTGGCCCTCAATCGACTCAAGGTAAATGAGAGATCACAGTGCTTCCAAGTGTCGACAGAGTGTTTAAGATACCGAAACAACACGAAGATTTTTGCGTCTTCGATAGCAACATTGAAGATCTACTTTTTGCGTTAGTATCCAGAATCTAAGATTACATCAAGATGTTGGGCTGTGTGACAGAACCTTCAAAGTTTGCCCCATTCAGTTTCATCAATTTTACACCGTCCACGTTAAACTGGCCTGATTTCCCCCTGCACTTATGCACTGTTGCCAAACAAAAGAGAGCACCACCTATACAAAAAGCTTTTAAGGGCTTATCAGTCCTCATCAAAAACACCAAGCCTCGCCACTTTCGATCTCGACGAGAACGAGAACTTTTTGATCTCGACGTTAACATCGTCCAAAAACTTTATGAGGTAGCATCATACTTCCAACGCACCTACATCAAAGGCGAAACCATTGAAAGGAAATTCTCGCAAGCCTGTTTTCGAGTAAACCTCTGGAAAGCTGCCATCAATTTACACCTTATTGGAGCACATTAAATTGTATACTGCTCATCAAAAATTCAATTTATAGAACGGAAATGGGGAAACGCAACCCCTAGCCGCAAGAAATACAGGGAACTGAATGAGAATATGAAAAGCATTTGCAAATTTTTTTTTAAATATTCTATTTAAGTATATTTGTTTTCTCTCGCGCTATAAAAGTCATTCCTAATTGTGCTTGTTTTATTGAGTTTTTTCTAAATTTTTCAAAAATTTATTTGATTTCCCAGAAAACATTCTTTTTTTTGAGATTGCCATGGTCATAGAGGGCTTTTATTTCGGGAAGTGATACAGGCCAATATCGAAATAAGATTTCCCTCTCCCTCAAACTGCCCCCAGTACCGCCTTTTCGGAACGTCCTACCGTCTATAGTTTTTTCGGAATTTTTAAACAATTGACTTCGTTGTAAATTTTAAACCTAGCATATAAAAGCACATGCATTATCCATTAAATTAAATCTTCATGGCTTTTCTTGACGTTTGCTTGTTTAAAAAGTAGCCGCAAACTCATTTAGGGTAATTTGGTCTTAACATTTTTTGAGTGTATCGAATCAAATCAAAGGACTTACTTCTCCAAGCATTAAAGTCCGACGATCACTGAGCACGGGCCATTTTTGAGTTAAACAATTTAAAATGAAGCAACAAGTTTGTAAAGAAATGCAGAAAAAAGATCAAGCAGATTATGGAAATAAGATGCTTTCAAATCGGAACTCTGGACCAATTTACAAGTATTCCGGCAGTCTCCGGAGCGAAAGAGTGATTTCTTTTGTTCAAAAGATTTAGAACCCATTGAATACATGCTCGCTCACAATTTTATGTCTGTGTGACCCTTATAGAATGAACGTTTGATCAACTATTAAATTGCTGATTTTGAAACCAGGTACAAATTCCTATGCTTTTGCATAAATTCATTAAAAAATAATAATAATAATAATAAACAAGACTGCTCGTATCAGGGCAAAGCCCTGAATGTTCCAACTGCCCATTTATTGGTCTCGAATAGTTTTTGGTATATGAAATATTGACAAACATCAAATTTTAGGCTGATAATATCAATATCAAACTTAAATTTTGAGTCGTTTATAGAATTAATGAGACAAATTAGCTTGCCTCAATTCAATTTGGATCAGTTATGAGTGCGGTTAATTTGCCACGCATAAAAAGTTCGCGCATTGATACAAATTTTCAAAGTATTATTCCAGCAGCAAAGCCGCAATTTAGTCTAGTGCAAGCATACTTGCTCAGCAATCCGCTGATTTCCAGATCGATGCCCATACGCTGTCAAATTTGCTAAAATAATGGGCCTGAATATAACAAAAATCACCCTGAAACGCACGTTTATGCATGTCTCAGGCCGGTCGTATATATTCTCGCTGTCTTCGAGAGTCGAAACAAAAAGTCAAAATTTGTCTTGAGAAAAAACCACTCGAGCACAAAAAGTCCGTCGCTTTTTTCGAAAATTGAAGAAAAAATGGAATTATTGAAACAGTTTAAAATTTCATGTGTGAAAATAATTACCCCACGCCACTTTTCTCCGCTGGAAGTAATTAAAGCCAGAGACGAATTAAAAGATTAATGAAACAGCTGGAAAGTCCAAAAAAATCTATGACTCAAAGACAACTCCCCTTGGTGTCTCAATCAGACGGTGTCTCAATTACTGGCAATTCATACGGAAGAAATCAGTGCAGAACAAAATCAATAATTACCTGACTCCAATTGGGAACCACAAGTGCTCCGTCTTCATTTCTTCTATGATCTTTACGCCTCCGACTTCGATTCTATCTGAGCAATTTTTCACATTTGAGAGCTTGTAGAGAATTGGAAGTATAGGCTCGATTCAGTGGTTTTATCAATCAGTTTTACGCTCAAACATTGACGTATGAGTGATTTTTTTCTAATGTTTTCCATGTCTTATTAGTTTTCATTACAGGCTTGATATTAGTATGGGGTGAATTTTGATGGCCTGGTTGTATTGCAGGAGTCGCAGGCCAATGTCATTCTCAGTAAGACACGAAGATACCCTGGATTGCAGCTTCAAGCAGAGACCTCTGAGACTAGCCACATGCGCATGCCACTGTTCAATGTAAGACATACAGTTCATCTTCTTGCCGTTTTTTTAATGAATCTCTTTCAAAAAGTTTCTGCAAGCGATTTCGCCGCGAATAGTTCTCAATAATTGAAGTGAAGTATATTTCAGGCTCAAGTTTACCTCGGAAGCTCAACATCAACACAATCTTCGTCAACAACGACATCTGAAGCAACTAGACAAGGACGACAAATCGCTAGAAAGACAACAAGGCGTGCTCATCCAGAGACTAATTCGGAATTATCACTGCCAGGAACTCTTGAGTCAGTTCAGCCGCAAGCATCAATTAGTGCATCAATCGTTCGCAGTGCAAATTCGATCGCAGTATCCACTGCAGCTTCAGTTTCAGGTGCACAAAGCTCAGACCTCAGTTCGTCAATTATGGCTAAAAAATTTAAATGTGCAAAATGTCATCGCGAGTATATCCACAAAGCCAGGCTGCTGAGGCATTATAAAGCTTCCCCATCTTGTAATGTTCTGAACCCAGCTTCGCAAATCCAGACACGAGATCCAGGGTACTTTGATACAAAACAGTGCCGATGGTGTGGAGCTGCGGATTTTTTCTTTGGAACTGTAGAAGAAACCAGGAGACATTACAGGGAACAGCACCCTATTACGTGTATCGAATGCGCGCTGAGATGCTCCGATGAAAGAGACAGAGAAGTGCACGAAAGAGAACACCATGGAATTTCGTACAGCTTGGAAGACGGCGAAGATGAGGAGCAGGAGCTTCCGGCTGTCGAAAGCCGACTGGCAGCTACTGAAGCTCCCGTGAGGCCTCTTTCCCAATCACCGTCTCTCAATTTACCCTCTGCCATGGACGCTTTGATAGAATCTACATCCGTTACAGGCGAAAATTTAAGTGATCAGCATTCTTTGGTCGTATCATTTCGACTTTATGAGACAATACCGATCAAGCCTCGCATCAGTGTGAAGAAAGCTTACTTCTCAGAAAACAAACTGCCGACGTTTTTCAAGCCACCCACTAAGCTTGAAACGAATTCGAGTAGTTTGATCGCAGAAAATTGCTGCGTGTCGGAATCTACAGACGGTTTAATTAAAGGATATGGTTTAATTTCAACCATGGAGACAATTCAGCAGAAAAGTACTCTTTTTAGAGCATCAGCGGAGGAAAAGCAAGTGCTCAATTTGCCCACCGCTGTCGCTCTTGATGAGCTATATTATGAACAGGTTGAAGAAATAACTGCAGTGGAGAACAAGCCAAAGTTTGTGAACGTGGCAAAAGCGAGAACCCTTCGGCCAATGACAGAGCGAGTCAGACTCAAATTGATCAAGTTTGAGAGTCCCACAGTGGAAGACACGGTCGAAACGCCAGAACTTGAAATAGCAGAAGAAATGCCAAACCCTTACCCACACTCAGCAAATTGCATTGTAGAAGTTGTTGAGCGCAGTGAGCTGGCCCGTGCGAGTTTGTCTGCGCCTGTTGAAGTTAAGAGGAATGCAAAGAAAACAAAGCTAAACGTCGCTGCGTTAAAGTTGATCAAACTGAAAAAGTCCGAAAGTGGAAGGGTGTCCAATAATTCTTCATCAGTTAGTGAAGTGTCAACTGCACCACAGAAGGAGGTATCAGTCGTAGATGTAGTTCTGAAACAGGACAAAGTTGAACGGACAGTTGAGAGTCAGAAGGCTGTTGCTTCTAAAAGTGAGAAAGCCAGTGATGCCTCGTCGGTGGAATTAGTGAAAATGCGGGCCCGCAAAACAGTTCGTTCTAGCAAACGAAGAAAAGAAGGTGAAAGTTACTGCAGTGCAGTTTCAGATGCTTCCGCCGCATCTGATGATTCTGACGAAATTGCAGCAAAGAGAAAGAAAGTGAAAACTTCAAGTGATACTACTGCGGCTTCAGAAGCACTGTCAGAGAAACTGAGCACAGAAAAGACTTTGCCCGGTAGCGAAATTAATCCAGTTTCGACCGGAGCTCAGAATCAAAATATAAAGGTCGATAAACCTTATAATGGAGCTGCAAAGCTTCATAATCTATCAAATTCTGAGAAACAGATATCTAGCTCTGCTTTGTTACCTAAACCATCAGTTGTGCTTAGTTCATCCGCTAGTTCAACAAAGGCAACTAAGTCACCGGAACAACTTAAAACTGTTCCAGACAGTACAGCTGTCTGTCTGCCAGTTCAGAGACCAGCTTTTTTTGTCGCAGTAACAGCAAGTTCTTCTGAAAAATTGTCCGCTGCAATTCTGAGCAAACCGAGTCTCGCGATTCCCAAGAAATCGTCAGTTGCTGTTCTCGGCAAACCGAGTCACGCGATGCCCGAGAAATCGGCCACTGCGTTTCCCGAGAAAACGATCGCTGAAATTCCCCAGAAACCAAGTACTGTAATTTCTAAGAAATCAAACGCCCCAATTCCTGAGAAAGTCACTGCTACGATTTGGTCTGAGAAAATGAAAACTTTGGTTTCAAGTCCCAAGGTCATACCACTCGTCTCCAAAGAGGTCGCAAGATGTTCTAAAACACCATTAGCAATATCAACGGCAGATATGGACGCGGGAAAGGACGTTCCCCTTATGGCGACAGACGTTCAAGAATCGATGTCATGTGTACCATTGTCAAATTCGTTTTCATTCGAGCCGCGGAAACGGGTGCAACATACTCGGAAAGAGCTGGCGGATTCACAATCACTCGGCCCATCAAACTCTTTTTCCAATAAGAGCCCTGAAGTAGTGCCATACTTTTTCTTGAGTAACGCTGCCACAAAAAGACCAGCACATGTGGCTCTCAATGATTCTGCGATGTCAAGATCGCCTCCTAAAGTTGCCAAACCTGCATTGCCGACTTCAAACAAGGGGACCGACAGAGAGAGCCGTACTAAAGCTTATGAAAGATCTCCTGAAAAGACGACAAGTACGGTGATATTACCATCAATGAAACAAACAGAGTGCTATTCTTTACCTCAACGAATAGACGGCAGGAACAGAAAGCAATCAGAGGCAATAAATAACCCAAGGAGCTCTAACATTTCTGGATATGGAAGTCATCGAAAGCATACCGAAAAACGATCTAACGAGTCGAATTCAAGATGTGCTTTTATGAGCTCTGAAAAGCTATCAAAAGAAGTAAAATCAAGCGGTGTTCCAACGAGTTCAGAAAATAGATCTAAGCATTCAAAATCAACCGGTGCTCAAACGAATTCAGAAAATCGAAACAGGGATTCAAAATCAGGCACGACAGTTTGTAAGTTAATTTCACGCGTATCTCATTAGGTTTTCTCGAAGCTAATTGCGAAAAAAAGTTAGAATCTGGTTCGGAATTTGATCATTCACCAAAAATAAGAAACAAAAGATCAAAAGAAAAGAACACACATGTTGAAGTCAGTTTTCTTCAGCTAAAGTCTCGCTCAATTTTGTCGTTAGATGATTTTGCTATTTGAAGTTCGCTGTCCAGTTCTGTTTTCCAAGTGGAGCTTTTATGTGCTCCACTATAACTCAAAATCGAAATAGCCCGAAAATTCACTCCCTTTTTTATTGGACTGCCTTTTCAGCCCCATCATCTTACGAGGAAGCAGGTATGAGTTTGAATAATATATAAACAAATTGCATCGGTAGCCTCGAGGAGGCAGTTTATTGCACGCTCATCATTCATTTTTGCTGGATGATAAGTTAATACATACACATTGTTTCACCGAAATGCATAAAAGCTGCGTCAAAAACTCATGATTTTGTTCATTCAACCGAATTGCTTTGTCATTGTCTAGTCCTAGTGCTGTTTCTACTCAGTTTGTAAATGTCATGCGATTTCGGCACTTATTGAAAAAACTATCAAGAATAACTAACTGCTGCTGGCAACCTGATTGGAACGTCTTTTATGTTCAGCTTCTAGCTTTTGTTTTGTTTTATCTTTTCATATAGGAGTTATGCTTTAGAATAATATTGGTACTGCCGTACCAAATTAACATTCTCCCCCTCAAAAAATCCATCTAGGATGGAGGATGCTAACATGGCTTTGAGTTGAATTTTTAGAACTGCGCATTTAACACGCAGCGCTTTAGCAAATTTAATCCAAAAATAAACACGGGGGTGGAGGATTTTAACTTTGGCCTATCTGGGAAGGGAACTTTATTTGACTTCATCCATACCCCCAATCATGGTACATTTACTAAACCTTGAATGCAGATTGAAAACTGATCAGTTTATGTGGTCACATAACGTTAATGACTGATTGGAGTAAAGTTGATCTCAATATTAACCTAGCAAAATTAGTGTTTCTACACAATTATTGAGAATAAGAAATTCAAGAGTAATTATGATGACTAAGACTTCAAATTAGACCAAGGAGTTGCACGAACCTATCCGGTCGAGAGTAGAAAACTTGATGAACAGATGTTGTATAGACAGAAAGTACTCTACTTGAGTTAGCACTCGCAAACTGGTCTCACTACTCTGACTGTTTAGGGGGTCAACTTAGTCAGCCGTACAAGGAAGCAGGCACTAAGTTCCGACGACTTTGGAAGGTATCTGTTCCGACTGCAAGTAAGAATATCCCCGATATATACAGCATAAAATGGACCAGATTGAACCGAGATTGCATAGACATTATCTTTTTCGGGTGATCTGATTGATTGAGACAGCATCTTTCGAGTATTCTTCTAAATGATTTTTTTAAGTTGAAAACTTTATTTAAAAGTAATCATATCCAGAAAAGAAGATGTAAACATCAATGTAGTCCAAAAAAAACGAGGTTTGAGCATCGGAGGTCCAAAATTACTTCCTGCTTTGAAAAGAGTTTAAGTTCATGTTAAGAATCAGTTCTGTTTTCATCGCGGGATTAATAATTGTAGTGATATGTACTTCAGGGACGCCAGGATCCAGGAGATACTATGAAAAGTTAGCATCAACAGATCCAACTGCTATTTGCAAACATCTTCCCTGTAAGTGCTGAGATTCAAACTGAACTGCTAAATCTATATTTTGGGTTGGGTATTTCGACAGTCTCTCGCAAAATGCATCGAAAAAAACTAATAATGTAAATGTACAGCTCTACAATGTTCTAAGTTGATCTACTAATTACTTACAAAATTGTGTGTTGTTAACTAAGTTATAGTATGTTAAAATTAAGTAATTTGTAATATTTTCTGTAGCATTAACTGCCATAATGTGTATCTGGGTTTATGCTGGCTTATCAGATTAAAATTTAAAAACCTGGAACAGTTACCATGTTTACCGATCGAACGTTTTGCTTTTACAGACTCGAAACCATGCAAAAGAAAAGAGCTCTTTCGATCGGGGTCTCCGGAGGAACCCGCAGAAGAAGTTTCCAAGCTGGCGACTTCCGTCGCTGCCAACATTTCGGATCCTTTGTTGGAACAGGTTTCGTACATATTAAACCAGATGCCGATATCCGAAACAATTTCCTCCAATCAGCAAGCATCTCTTGAGCCAAAGCAGATACCTCTGGAACCCATCTTAAAGAGTCAGTACTTTTTCAAAAAAAAATCAAGTATAATGGTTATCTATGTCTAGCTCTATGTACGGATAGCGTTAGATAATTTCGCGAAGTCAAATTGGTTGCTATGAAATTTGATTTTTTCCACAGAACAGGAAAAATTTTCCGATTATTCATGGCTTTTTTTGTTTTGTTCTTTGAGGAGCGATGATTTTGCGCTTAATCTTGAACTTGTCGAAAACGTTTTCAATTGTTCAAATGATTTATTGTTTTTTTAAATATCCAATTATGAGCGTTGCTTTTTTAATAATATGCTTTTTTAAGAGGCAATCAACGTAATGAAGTTTCTTTTATAGGTCTTGAAATGAAGTTTCTTATATAGTTCTTGATGATTTTTTTTTGAATATATTTTTTTCAGGAAAAATTTGTTAGTTTAAGTACGCTGAAATTTGATTTTCTGCTCAACTTTGAATTGTTCATTTCCTTTGTTAAAGGCAAACGCTAATAACGAACAGCAAACTTGTAAAGGTCACGATAAACGTGATTGAATTTTAGGTTCGAAAGTGGGTTTTATTTTTCAGATTTCCCAGCGGAATAAACAAATTCACCGATTTATTTCTTTTTCAAATTGAGTTAATTTTATCAAAAAAGTGTCAAGAACAAATGTTTCTTCAAATTCAAAAAGTTTTATGGGCATGTTTTTTTTCTATGAAATTCGAAAGATGAAAAACATGGCTTTTGTTGTTTCCCTGCGTTAATTAACTTTCTCTCTTTGCTTTGTTCAAATTTCCATGGAAATAATTTGAAGAGGCGATGGACGTAGTTCAGACTCTTATATAGGTCGTGAAGTTTTTTTTAAGGAAAAGTCTCAAAATTTGTTCAGGTTCAAATTGACGTTTTGAAGTTCGAGTTATGGTTATTTTTCAAGTTCCATTAATCTCATTTGTTCAAAGAAAGGCAAACTCCACTATTGAACAGCAAAAGTATAAAAGTCACGAAAAACATGATCGATTTCTACTTGAGAAAATGGGATTTTTTTCAGGTTTTCTAACAAAGTAGAGATTTATCTATCGACCCAGTTTTCTCCAATTGGGCTGATTTTATTGAAAAAATCTCCATCATAAATAAGTCTAGAATTTCAAATAGATATTGTTGTTGAGATATTAAAAAAAAGAACAAGACAGTTTTTTTTCTGCTTACTTTCGTCTTTTGACTCTTTTTCCACCCGTCTACTGGAAATGTTTGGTTTTCTTGATCTCCTAGATTAACTTATTTTCATGTGCTGAAGGTAGTTCAAACAATGTTCTTGAAAAGGAAAAATGCGAAATGACGAAACTTGACTTTTTTTTTTAACTTAAGTGTATTAGAAACCTTTTTGGAGTAATGAATATACACTAGTATCCCTATATATACAAAATTTTTAATCTTGAAAAGTTTTTGGATTCTTAAAGCTTATAGGATTTAAATTTGATTTGAAGTTCGAAAATTAATTTGGTTTCAATAATATCAGTTGTTTTTTTGCACTTATTGTTTTTTATTTGATGCTCAGAGTTGTGGTTATTTAATTGATAGGTTAATCAAAAAGTCTTTTTCAAACAAAAAAAGAGTTTGTTTGTATATCTTTTTTTTTGAATTTTATGATCTTTCTTCTGTATATATGAAAAAATGATAAGAGTTTTTTGAATTAATTTTAGAATAAAACTTTCCAGTTGTAAAAATACGTTTTTCGCTGCACCTATCATGTATTTCAAGTGAAAACGTGGTAATTGAGCCCCAATTTTGAATTAAGCCACACCATTGAGCCTTTTTTTTCGTTTTACAAATAGCTTTGAATAATAACACTGTCGAATAAAACATTTTTGCTTGATCACTCGATGTACTCGATTTAAGTAATGGGCGAAACGTTTTTCAGCTCGTATTTGCTTAGAATTTTATAAAAACAATTTCAATTGAGTGCGTTTGCATTGAAAAAAAAACTAAAAACAACTTGAAAAGTGCAAATCAAAACGTAAAATTAGCAAAAATTTCAAAAAGTGATTTTTGAATTTTTTCAATTAAAGTTTATTTTGTTGGATTAAGGTTTTAAAAGCTTTAAACGTCCTATTTTACTAGTTTTCGTACAGTCATTTTAACTTGCACAAAATTGGACTAGAAATTGAAATGTTCAAGACATTTCCTGTCACTGAGCAGTGTTTCAAAAATTTAACGTTCGAAACTCAACTTAAAGGGCTTCAATCTGATTTATTGCTCGAACCGTTTTGATGGCTTTTTATGGCACCTAGATTTTTTTGAGAAAATTAGAAAAGCTAAATCTTACCTGGAGACAGAGTTTGGCCTCAGCTCGAAACCCTAGCGTAAAGAAAAAAATTTTGATAAACCTGATTAAACATTTATAAAATGACGTTCTTTTAAAAATTCATTTTGTTTTCTCTTTTTTTTTCGTTTGTGCTCAGTCTGATTTTTGAAGTCCTAGTTCAAATCACAATTGTTCGATAATTAAACTGCAAATACAATTTTCAATAAAAAAATGCACTTTTCCATCATCAATGAAGCTGGGCTTCGTTTCAAAAATAGAGTTTTTCAAGTTGTAAGGTAAAAGTGTAATCTAATAGTGTTCATCATATAACTTCTTAAAATTATTAGAAGTTTTTGATGTAGTTTTTTGAAGGTTCTTCATACATAAAATGTTTCATCTTAATTTATGCAGCCATTTTTGTCAAGTTTCTATTAGTGACCTTTATTCGTTCATATTAGTTGGTGTCCAATTTAACCAAAAATTTTAACCGAATTAGCGGGTACAGTGATATGTACAAATCGTATCCTGATGGTCGAACAAATGTTTTTTATTATTCTGCTCGCTAGTTCTATTGAAAGATGTCAAATTTTCTATTATAATTTTTTATTTAACAAATTGAACTCAAGTCAACAACTAAGGTATGGCCTATCAGTTTTTAAATTGCAGTTTTTTTCAATTTTTGTGTTAAGAACCGGCTCCTGAGAAGAAGTCCGACTCGATAGATGCCAAACGTTTTAGGATCAAATCAGCGATCAAAGTATGACCTATAAGGATTTGAAGTGATAATTTTTCACTCATTGGTGTTTTGAATCCGCTTTAATGGGTCAAGTCTAAAATTTTTAAAGAACCAAACTGTGCTATTTTTGCGCTCTTTTGGTTTCGATCTAGTTTTGGGGAATCAGAGCTGGCAAAGAAAACAATTTTTTTTTTAAATGTTGATTTGACGACTCTTTGACTGCTTCCACTCAAAAGCGGGATGCAAACGCAGGCATAATTAATTCATCAATATTAGTGAACATTTTAAGTTCTAAACGCATCCCACTTATTTCGCAGATGTTTGTTGAGGTAAATTCTGTTCGATGATTGCCTTCTACAACCTTTCACCATTAAGTTTTAAGTTAGTTGTATGGTTGCTAGAAATTTTGAATCCCGGATCTCTAACCAATTCTCTGTTGAAACCATTAAATGGATTTAATCAGCATCACGGTTTTGTGGTGTAGATGTGCCTCAATTTGGATAGCTCCTCTTGGATATGACGCATTTTTGTTCACGTTGTATAGCTCCCCTGTCTTATCGTGTTCATCTAAGTTTTCATAGATTCAATATCCAGATTAACGCTCTGCCTTGTCCTGTCCCGTCCAAAGAAAGTGACAATCATTCATATTCCCTTTCGATTTAACCGTAGTGGTGATTGAGCCGGTCGCAAATGCAGAAAACTGACATAGCCTTGATCTGATAATAAATAAAATGATAGTAATCGAAACATGCCTGAAGAACTGCCAATTCAAAATACTCTGTTTTTGTTTGATGGGAAACTATCAAAAAATCCAATTAATTATCAATTAAGTTTATATAACTAGTTTCCAGCCATCTACTTGTTCGATTTACGATAAAAATTTATCTTTCGTTCTTTCAGGTATTGCTTGCTTTCGGCAGCTATCAATTTTATGCTTTTGGTGTAGGATTTGAATACTATGTTTTTTTTAGCAAAGCAAGTTCTATTTATCGGATAGAACTTAAAGATACTATTTATACTGCTATTTGCTATTTTGGCTGGCTTGCTGTTTCAGGTATACGAACAAAGCCTAATTCTTCCTTCCCTTGCACCTCGGAATTACCAACTAAACAACAGTCAAAAACCACAGTGATACCTTTGGTACGGACTCAATTAGCTGAGGCGAGTGACTGTAGCTCGAACGCAGTCTCAGCAGAAGTCTGTGAGGCTCCTTCGTCATCGGCATGTTCCTCCTCAGTTTCTAGAGTTCCATCAGTTCCTTTGACAAATCAAAAGGCTCTCTCATCGCCGGCAGTTCCTCCAACAACTCATAGGTTTTCGTCATTATCGACAGATACTGACGAAGATGAGCCGCCGCCGTTGAAACCCGTTAAACCCTTTGAGACCCATAACTGCCACAATGCCAACATATCTGCAAGGTAAGTTGGAGATCAGTTCAGCGAAGTTTAACGACGAGTAGTAAACATCCATTTATAGTTTTTTGTTCCGAGCATTGAAAATGGGGGGGGGGGGGGGGGGGGTGCTTTATATTCGGGTGTTTTAGTTTTTTCTTTTCCCCACAAGGTTAGGTACGACAAATAATCATCGGAAAGGGTCTCAAAAAATTGCGTCGAAATAATTTGTTTGAAGTTTCAGTCTATTTTCGAGCGATTGAATATTATTTAATAACATTGTGTTACTCCAGGAAACTTAGTTTTGGCATTAAAGTTTTAGGCGTTCGTTGAGTTCTCCCATCTCTTCAAACCAAGAACAAACATCGATATTAATTTGAGGAATGAAAAACCTTTTATTAATTTTTTTTATGAATATGGTCGGAACATTCTATGCAACTTGCACAGCAACCGGCTATCCTTGAGTAGGTTGCGTTCAGTCGCTTACCTTTGAGTAGCAAATCTATTCAACTAATGAATTGGTTAAATGTCACTTATTGAAGTGAAGTCACGTATTTAGGTCGCGTGATTTTTTTTAAGTAGTATCAAAAATTGTTCACGCTCAAGTTGGAATTTTTGGAGTTTGATTTTTTTTTCTGTTTGAGTCCACTTCAATATAATTTGCTGAGTGGAGGGTAAATTATTTGCAACACCGACGCGCGCGTAGCGCTCCTAATGCCTCGAGGGGGAGAATTGTTTTGATCTTTAGTATGCTAAGCGAAACAAATGTATGCTAAGAGGTTAAAAATAGGGAAGAAACGTGCGGGTGACGAAATGTACGAAAAATTAATAGCAGAACCTGTAAGAGGCTAAACGTGCCACACTCGTGACAAAACATCAGAGTGTTTAAAAAGTGGATTTTAGTTTTAAGAATTTCAAGCGGAACAAAATGCTCTTCGATCCAGTTTTATCAAAAAATGTTTATAAAATTCAAAAAGCTTGAAGGTGATATATAATGTTTTCATAAAATTCGAGAGGTGAAAATTTTTCAAAATAAAGTCCGTCGTTTTTCTGTTTCATCGAGCTTAAGCAATTTTCCAACTGTCAGTTGGCTATCTCCTTGTTTCCGGCTTCCGAAGAAATTTACCTAATATTTGTGCTCAGCGTGGGTTTTTCTTTGACAAATTTACAAGCCATTTTTACAAAAGTTTTTTCAGACAAGTTTACCAGTCACTTTGATGAATTTATTTATTTTCTAAAAGATATCAATATCCTGAGCTTTACTTTAAAAAATTCTGTGATCTTTTAAGAGTCGATGAACGTGGTTCAGACTCTTATATAGGTCGTGATTTTTCAATTTGATTTTCGTGGTTTGATTTTTTTTTGTAAGTTCAGTTTAATTTCTTGGTTAACAGAAGTCAAACTCCAAATTCGAGCAGAGAGACTAAGGACCACGAAAAACGTGATCAATACTAATTTAGAAAGTGGATTTTAATTTTCAGATTTCCCAAGGGAATAAAAACTTTTACTGGTTAGAGTTCATTTTATCAATAAAGTGCAATAATAGAATGTTTTTAAAATTCATCGAGTTTTAAGATCATATAATTTGAATTTCAAAAGTTGAAATTTTTCGAACAACAAGTCAATTGTTCTCTGTTTTCTTGCGTTCATTGACTCTTTTCCTACTGTCTGTTGGTTATGTTTGAAATTATGGGGTTTTTAAATTACCAATTTGTGATAATTAGCGCGTGATATGTTTCCTACAATAAACGCGTGACCGGAGGTTTACTTCGGCTCAGAAATCATTACTGTTTTGAAAGAAACGGAATATTTAGGCTCGGGCGGTTTTTTCTTCAGAGAAATGTCAACTTTTTAACTAGCCATTTTTGACGGAATTTGTTTTATATAATTCAAAAAATTTGTTGTCCTGAGCTTAGATTTCAGCTTTGAAAAATATTTCACCTGTGATCTTTTTTTGGCAAGTAATGGGAGTTTAAAGTTTGCCATTTTGGCCAATTCGGGACAATCAACGTGTGATATATTTCGCGCTATTAACGCGTAAGCGGAGATTTAATCCGTCTTGGAAATCGTTCCAAATTGGTTGAAGGAGGCTTATTTGCCATAATTGATTTGTTATTAAGAGCGAAATCTATCACCCTATACTTAATATGGCGAGTGGGGGGATGATTTTCACAAAAAAAATCTCAAATAAAAAAAAATCATTTATTTTACTACATTTAATTTTTTCATGTTTTTGCTGCTCCATAGACCTTAAAAGGCAGTCGGAACATTCTGGGCTTCGCTCTGATGCGATCAGTCATGTTTGGTTTAAAAAACGTTGTTAGACACTAAATACAGCACATTTCTTAACATAACATTTGTGGAAGGAATATTTTGGAAAACAAAATCTAAAAAAAAAATTAAAAACTGTTTCATACACGATAAAGGGCAAACAGAACATTTAGGGCTGTGCCCTGCTACGAGCAGTCTTGTTCACTTGAGATGAGAAATAATGGAAGGTTGTGATGAATGCGCCTTAGCAATGTGGCTCCTTTGTTCATGGACGCTGAGCAATATATGATAATGTCACTAAAGAGTTCACGTGACATGAAACAAAAAGAACACTTGTCGGTAGTAGTTTTGGCCGCGTAGCTCGGAATTTTTATCACAAAAATCGTGATATTTTGCCGATAATAGAAAATTTTTGGAAAAGCGAACACAAAAAAAGTTTTCCTTAAAAAATTGAAAAAGGGCATTTCATTGGAAACACTGCTTTGAAGTTCGTGGAAACACTGCACTGAAGAGCTCTAGGTTAAAAACAAATTGAAATTCGTTATTCGAAGTTTGAACGCCGTAATCCATCAGTGCGCCCACTCATTTTTATAATCAGTTAAACTATATTTTTGTTTCCAGTTTACAGAAGCGAAAGGTTGGTTTTCATTTTAGAAAAAAAATTATCTTCATTTTCAACTGAATTTCATAATTTATTCGTCAACTTTGATCTGTGATTTTCAAGAATGCTGGATAAGGCAAAAAGGCTGAGTCCTCGAGATCTGAAATTATTCCTCCAGTGGGAGGTTACATACTCTTTTTGAAATACTTATCAAAGAAGTTAATTTTCACCTATTCAGGTGGTGTGGTTTTTTGTTTCACAAAAAATTAGATCACACCCGTTTTTTTGCGGCGTGACTTTTAATTTTTTTTCGAAATTTTGTTATGAAGTTCAATACTAGATTGTAAACTACGCTTTTCAATTGCGAATGTGAAAATGGTGCTAAAAACGAGAATGATTCAAGTTCCAAAAGTGGATTTTAATTTTGCTCAAAACTTTATAAGAGTTTGTTTTCAAAAGTGGATTTTAATTTTCAGAATTAACATAAAAATATCCTGACGACCCAATTTGTCTAAGTGGGTTAGTTTTCTAAAAACAAAAAATGCCAGTCATGAAAGGTTTTCGAAATTCGAAGAGATATATTTTAGCTGATATATTTTTCTTTCTGATGGTTACGTTGAATGATGTAAAAATTGTATTTTTTTCGGTAGTCTTTTCATTGGCACTTTTTCAAGGTGCTAGAGATCTTAGCCAACCGGTTTTTTAGCAGACCAATCTGTTAGCACACTCAGAACAATTAGCAAATCAGAACGATGGCTTCAAAAGCAGCCTTTTAGATTAGGGACCGCTTGCTCCGCTGCGCTTCCATTCGCCACGAGTGTTATTGTGCGCGTAATTTTTTGTTTTGCCGCTAATTTAGACTAATGTTTTTGAAGTTGATAGTTTTGTTGTCAAAATTGTGAGATAATTGTCTAATTTAGACTATTGTTTTTGAAGTTGATAGTTTTTTTGTCAAAATTGTGAGATAATTGGGAAACTCGACCCACGACTCAGCTTGCATCTTTTTTTTTTTTACGTTGGGCTGCTAAACGACTAATTTTTGACATTTTATGCTGAAAGATTGGTCTGCTAAACGATCGGTCCCCCTTTTTCAACTACCAGTTGGCTAGGTTTTTAACAAAAGGTTTGTTCTGTTTTTTTTTCAGATTGGTGGTTTGAATTTTTGAAGCGCGCTTTTAAAAGTAATTTTCCAAGTGAAGCTCGAGTTACGCTTTTGAGAACGCAAGTAGGAATGACGCGAAATGGACTTTAATTTCAATTGTTGATTCAAAATCAAAATTCACGAGGAGGAAAAAAGTATCGCATTGGTCAGGTCTAAATATGATCACATGTATCAAAAAAAGTTAAGTATAAATTAGTTTGATATTTAAAGAGATTTAGGATGATGCGTTTTGTTAATGAAAAAAAAAATCAATTAAAAACGGGAAAAAATGATTTTTTTTCCTGATTTGGCATTGATTATGTTTTCCTAGGTGTCCAGGAGTTCATCAATGCTTATCAAACTTTCTGTTAGCAATGTATTTTCAGTACGTGAAACCCTTTTCAGATTGGCTGCTCAGCGTTCAACCTTCGCCGTTAAGCTTTTAATATAAATTATTCCTTGACTTCAATGCTCTGTGTCTCTTTTAGAGTTGCTTTAGTTTAACATATCAATTAAATATTTTTCATTCATCGTTCCATTCTGCTTAGATCTGGGACAGTTTCAACCGGCCTATCACCCGGAGTCCTTATCAATATCAGTTCCGATGAGGATGACCTAGGTGACGATATATTCACAGATGACGTCGGATGCGCTAATCAGACGCCACAAAGTAGAAAAGTCGAACGGAAAGACGACATAAATTTCTCTATCTATGTGGAAAATAGTAACCGCTCCACGGCTATATCAGATAATGCAATCCAAGATCTATCTACCGCAAACACAGCAAGCTTTCCCACTGCAAATTCAAATTCACCCAGCTCGAAGCAATACAATTGGAAAAGTTCTAGTACCAGTAGTGATGCTAGTTCGAAAGTATCGCCATCTTCAAATAAAGTTTTGAAAGAAAGTGGAAAACATATCGCATCGAAGAAATTTTGCGAGTTGTGCAAAAGGAGTTTCTGTGAGTTGGAAAAGCATTTTGACAAATTTCACTCGCCGAAGCCCTCGATAGAACCGGTACCTGGATGCCAAAAGTGTGCGGATTGCGGTCTGTACTTTGGCAAAAGCGTATACTCGAAGCACCGGATTCGGTATCACGAGAGACTTGGTAGCAAACACATTTGCTACAGGTGTGGCCTAGAATTCCAGTGCAATGGGTATTTGATAGATCACCTGAAATTCGAACATAGGGAGCAGTCAAAGCAGATTGTTGACTTGTCATCAACAGAAGACAAATACAGATACCGTTTAGCCCGAAGCGGAGCAGAATCAATCGAATGACTCATTCGTAGATGCTTGTTTGTATGCTGATGTGCGTTAGCGTTCCAAAAACTCTAGATACATAAACTTTGTCGCGGCAAGCAGGGTTTCAGTTTTGCCACAAGTATTTCAGGACTATTTCTTGTTCGGTGCTACTTAGCGATGCCCATGGGCTTGGTTTATGTGCTGTGGATTTTACACATTTCAATAGGTTGAAAATTTCTCGCAAATTGAAAAATCAAAGAATGGAAGCTTGCATATTTTTTTTGCTCACACGCACTCACGTTCAGTTTCACCTAAGTATGCTCAGCTCATTTCATTGTTTTGGCTACACAGAAGAGGGACTGATAGAATTGAATTGACCCCAAAAAGAATATTTTCATACTTGAAAAATCGGGAAGACTTTTACTATAAGAAATACTGTTTTCTGAAATACTTCGTGAAATTTTATGCGAGTTTATACGAGATTAGTTTATACGAAATTATACGAGAAATGTTTATACGAGATTAGGCTAGGGCAAAAATCGAAAAATAAATTTTTGAGAATTGAATTTTGTTCAGTAGCAGTTTTCCAACACCTCTGTCGGTCCTGTTCATATTTTACACTTGAACATAGACCAAATTTGTAAAATGTTATATATCAAATACATGTATCTGTTAGTTTTGTTTAGATTTATACAAATTGCCAACAAGAGTTTATTTTTCTCTAATACAGTTTTCTTCCCAGGCCTTTCAGCTAGATTTTGAACTGGATCATATTGCCAGAAGGCGAGAAATTTGGTTTTTATTGCATATTGACTATTGCTGGTTTAACTGAAGGGGTTTGTCATTTAAATTTGGTTATCGCACAGCAAGGGTTAGCAGGATTGCTCAACTGTGAGCGAAGCCCTGAAAAAACGGACTGCACATAAAATTAACCCATTAGTTTGGTAAAAACAAGTTTGGTAGATTTATGAATAAACCAAAAGTTGTATAAGAAAAGAATGTTCATTTATTTAGGTCCTATAGTTTTTTTCTAAATGTCCTTTTGTGAATTGTCTTTCGATTTCTTTTTAACCTCAAATCAAATTTGATTTCATGTAAACATTGGATTGCGCTTTTTATAAACAAAAGAACTGACTCAGGTACATTTTTTCAAGTTGAATGATTTTTATAGATTTTTGAAATTATTTTACTAGAGGAATTCAAAACAGCGAAGGGAATGCTTTGTGTATTTCACAACAGTCTTTTTGATCTTCATTCCCCTTTTTAATCCGACTTTCGAAGAAAGTGAGGAATATATAAGCTCGGGGTGGTTTTTTATGCAGACCAATTTTAGAAAACTCTGGTCCCTCGGCTGATCGATGGTACCAAGTTAACGTCCCCCCAAGCCGTTTAGGGGGGGGGGGATTTTTACTTGGTTTTGAGTTCAAATTTTCAGCCAATAAATATATAGCATATTTCACGCAGCGCTTAGAAAATTTAATTTAAAGTCAACGCTGGGGTGGAGGATCTTAACTTGGTTTATTTTTGGCGGGGGTAGGGGGTTGGGCTTGAGGGAAAGTTAATTTCAGCCGATCGATCGCTTGATCTGCATTGGCCCACCTTGATGTGCAAATTTTATGCTGACCTGCAACATTTGATGCTTAAAGCGCAACGCAAATTATTTATGCGTGGCGAATTATCCCACCTTACAAAATCGTTTCTTATTAATTTGAAACAACTAATTGGTCTTATTAATTCCATACTCGTCTCAATTTTTAACACTTAAAATTTGATATAATCAGCCTAAATGTATAGTTTTGCGAGCTTTCAAATTACTAAAAACTATTGGAGACCAATTAAGGAGCAGTCTGAACATTCAGGGCTTTGCCCTGATACGAGTAGTCTTGTTGTTCCGACTTTCGAAGAAAGTTAGAACATGTGTGCTGGTGTTTTTTTTTTCGTTCAGACCAATTCTCAACAAAATTTCCCTCGGGGGATTGATCCATGGATCTTCGTAGTGCCAGTATGGGCGAGCTCACGTCTAGACTATCCTGCGTTAAAGATTGCTGTGAAACGCTCAACGATAGACTAACGTGCCTAAAAGAGCGCTGTGATACTTTGATGTTGAAATTTTAACGCACATTATTTAATGGGGGGTAAAGTTAACTTGCCGACGATCGATCTGTTGATCTGCTATGTCCCAGCCTGGTGTGCAAACCTTTATAGTAACCTGCAACGAGTCTGTCTAACCTGCTCGTTTTATAGTTTGATGCTTGAAGTGCAAGACAAAATTTTAATGTGAGGCGATTGATCCCGCAGCACAAAGTCGTTCCGAATTCAATTGAGACAGACTATTTGGTCTAATTAATTCAATACACGATTAGGAACAGTCGGAAAATTCAGAGCTTTTCCTTAATACGAGCAGTTTTGTTTTGATATGTATGGGAAGCAACTGTCTTATAAATTAAATAATGAAACGGAATCGACGAAGTATTTGGCGACAAATATTCAAGTTCTCTAGTCTGTAGTTCACTGCGTTTTGATGTGAAGTTTTAATTTTTCGAATCTAATGTTGAACCCGATTCCACTAAATAATAAAAAAAAAACAATGCAAGAGCATGTAAAAACCGGTTGCTTTTAAAAAAGTTGTGTCATTTTTGCTCACGGTGTGATGAAAGGAACTAGATTGGAAAAATGAAATTAGAAAAATGTCTCACAAACTTCATTTTTTAGAGAACATCCAATTTAAAAAAACTATTGCCAAAAAAGTGCTAAATAAAATTTTGAAAACTAAAATTTCCTACTCGGTCCCTTTACGCGCTCAAAATCAGACTAACAAGCAAAAAAAATTGAATCGGTTTTTCTCGACAACGAGAAATTTTATGGGTAAATTTTCATAAATTTCAAAGTACGACTAAAGATTCTCATAAATGATAGATCATTTGACCTAAGTTGGTCATTTTTTGGAGTACCTGGTTTCGCTTGAAAAAAAGTAGAAAAACTAAAAGACCAGAACAACAAAGATGTAAAATGCCTTTAAAAAGCAGCAAGTAACAAATTTACTTGATAGTCAAAATCGCATCAAAATCATCCCTTTCAATGAGAATCAGCCCAACTAATCTGCTGTGGCGTGCTCGGGAGTTTTTTTGAAAACATTTTTATGCCTATTTTTTAGTTTTGCAATTCAAATTGTTCAGTTCTGGGACACAGCCAAATTTTTTAAAAAAAGCTGGTTTAAATGACGTTTTGGGTTTTAATCGGAAAATTTATATCAATAATTTCTGACACAAATAGTTATCGAAAAAAATTCTGTAAAATTTTTGTCGAAAGGTCACCTTTTGTAAAAATTGTCCATCAGTAGAAAGGCGCAGGGGGTGCTAAATGTAAATATGAAATAAACACAGAGGCAAAACTGAAGATTCCAAAAACAGATAAAAGCTGGGGTAACCGGTTGCTGTGCAAGTAGCCCAAAAATTTCCGAGCACGTTCATCAAAAAACTACACAAAATCTGTTTTTAGCGGCGTTTTTTTGTGCGTGATGGGATGAAAGGACTATAATAACGCTTAAACGTTAGTGAATTAGATACTAGATAGTCGACAACAGTTTTTGTTTTTTTCGCAAAACACTTATTCTATTTTTGTACAAAAACTTTTTTTATCAAAGAAACACTAAAAAACTTCCAAATCTAGTTTTGCTGGAGTAAAACTAAAATTTTCATTTCTTAAATTGCTTTATTCTCACTCGAAATTAAACTAAAACACAAGAAGTCAAAGTCGCTCAAATCATTACTGAAAAGGCTTGAATATTATGTATTGCGCACCCATTCTGGTAATATTTTTCATTCCTGAATTTGCGTTAAAAAAATTTTAAACTCACGCGTAGACAAAGGCATTACCCATTTTCAATGGCCAAATGAGTTATAAAATTGCAGTAACATATCTGAATTTTAAGCATTCGGCTTGTATACAATCTATTTTTAAGTTTGTACAAGATTCACTTTTATATACCAGTAGGTTTCAGAACTCGGGTGAAATGCGAACTATTTTGAGCGCTTCTTTGTGCGAGTTTGATCGGAAAAATGGTACCCGTATAATCACAATTAAGCGTAGTTACGTTCATTAATTTTCTTTACTTAAGTTATTTAAGTTGTCTGAAAATTGTACTGGAATTACTTTCCTGTTTCAGTATTGCCCTGCATCCCATTATGATACTACTAAATAACCTCTTGAAGAATTTGCTATTTTTTCCAGATTTTTTTGTTAGTCCATAAAAAACTTGATGCAAGTTAAAAAATCCAAACAACTTAATTTTTAAAATTATTTCGAACTTTCATTCAACCCTGATTTGGCTTGCAGACAACAACGAAAGCCATATGCTATCTGAAACGAGCTGTAGAAAGCCCGCGAAGCTCAGCTATGTCCTGAAATCAGGCAATTTTAGATCGCAGATTGACAAGACATTGAAATATCTAATCCTACCTGTTTAATCACCTATGTACATCTGTCGCCAAGCTTGATTTTTATCATATAATTTAACTCAGCTGACAATTCTTCAACGTTTTTGTACAATGATATAAAAATTACACCAAAACAAAGGCACTTAAAATTGCATGTGGACATTTGAAGTTTTATTAAATTTTCTAATAATTTTGGAAAATGTGGTTTAATGTTTTCTGTTAGGATTCTATTTTTGAGTCCATTTTTGAGCCAATTGGTAGTACTTAACGAGTGCAGTCACACAGTGTTGCACATTGTCTATTCTGATATCGAGTTCTCTTGAGTCTTTGCTTTCCATCACTTGGCGTCTGAAGCCGCCTTTGAATTCCCCTGATATCTCTTGGTTATCGATGACAAATTTGATTCCATTTTCAACAGTGTCCAGCATTCCTTCGGGTAATTTCGAGAATTCAACCTGTAATATGTATATTTTTCACAGTCAAATAACATGCTTCCGGGGGCAGATTTAGGGAGAGGATTTAAAAAGGGGACTCGACACACTGACTACCCAAAGGATTCCCTTTGGTTCTATTTTACATCTACTTTTGGTTGTCAAACCCTAAAAGTTTCAAAAGGTATTTTTGGCAATCGTATATACTAATTTTGAGGGGCGAGGTCCAAAACATTTCAAAAGTGCGCAAAACTTTGTTTTTCTGCTGTTTTTCTTTTCAAAAAAATTATCTGCGGCGTAGAATTTTTTAAAATAAAGTTAGGGTTTTTTTTACTGTTTTGGTAGAGCTCGGAACGGTTGACAAGTTTTTTGAAAATCCATCCTCGAGAAAATTTTAGATCCGCCACTATGCATCAGAGGTTGAAACAAAATAATGAAGAAGGTTACAATCAGTTTTGTAACATTAGAAAACTTCTATTCTCAAAGAAATTTACCACAAAGGCGCGGAGCAGAGCTTCGCATTACTTTTGCAGCAGAAATATATGCTTTCAGAAATTTTATAGCTGAATTCTTTTTGAACTCACGTATCTGTACCATTTAAAAAAAACAAATGGAAATGACTTTCAATTAGCTGGAATCAGAAAAAAGTGCATGCTGTTGAAGCTAAACTGACAAAAATTAAGCAAACAAACGATAATCTGACAATTAAATTTCTCAAACGAAAAACTTTCAATTAGCAAGAAATGGCGATCCATGTCTGGTTCAAACCTAGGACCGTTGTCGTCAAAAGCATGTGCGTTACTTATACACCAAACGGTACCACTTCGTAACTGGAGTTCAAGATACTAATAACTAAGCTGATGAACAAATGCAAATGCGTGATTGCAATACTTTACAATTCACAAAGGTAAAACATAGTCAAGAGACAGTTGGAAAATATTCAATGAACGCAAGTAAGAAAAACAAGGCTGCTAGTATATCAGGGCGAAGCCCTGGACGCCCCGACTGCACTTTAAGACCATTGAACGCTCCCCCGCACGCGCTAATGTACACTACAAAGGGATGCATTTAGAGACTTGTATCTTAACAATACGACAAATTGACTTGGTTCAATTCAATTGAAATGACTTGCCACAATAGTTTATAAGTGGTATAGGAACGCAATAAATCACGCGTTTATTATCCCAAATAGGCCAAATTAGCAATTTTCAGAACTTTAGCAATAACTTTACGAAAAGGATCACAGATGAAATATTTGTTTAATTTTGAGCTCAAAAAAACAATATCTGTTAGATAGTTTTGAAAAATTCTGTCAAAAAGACTTAATTGAAAAGCTAGCACACCAAGCAAAAATATTTCGCAGTGATATCACTAGAATTCATAGCAAGAAAACCAAGGTCGTAATTAACGAATTTTTTGGTGAACAAAAAACAGTGTGTGAGAAAAGACGAAAAAACTGAAAGACCGAAACAAAGTTCACAAGTTGCCCAGGCACTGTTTTAAAATTGATTTATTAATGTCTTCATTTTGCGTTCATTGAGTTCTGCTTTTAAATACCGAAATTAATGGCAGTTCGTTATTCTTTGTTGACTTGTAATTTCCGATAATTACGGTAAAATTAAGTAAGAAGTGAAATCTTGTCAATCAACCAGCTAGAACAAAATTTGTTTGAAATTTCAAAAAAAATATATCCCAATTTGAGAAAACTGGATCAATATATAAAATTTTTATTTCGCTGAGAAATCTAACAAGACTGCTCGTATCAGGGCGAAGCCCTGAATGTTCCGACTGCCTTTTAAGGTTTATGGAGCAGCAGTAATAACATAAAAAATGAAATGAAATAAAATAAAAGGAAAATTTTTTTTTCTAAAATTGAAAATTTTTCATGAAAATCATCCCCCCAAACGCCATATAAAGTACAAAAAGATAGATTTCGTTCCTTGTAACAAATCAATTATGGCAAATAAGCTTCGTTCAACCAATTTGAAACGATTTATAAGACGGATCTCCGCTTACGCGTTAATAGCGCGAATTATATCACGCGTTAATTGTCCCAAATTGGTCAAAATGGCCAAAACGGCAATCTTTAAACCCTCATAACTTTACGATCACAGGTGAAATGATCACAGGTGAAATATCTTTTCGAATTTAAGCGCAGGACAACAATGGCTTTCGAATGATATAAAAAAATTCCGTCAAAAATGGCTAGTTAAAAAGTCGAAATTTGTCTGAAGAAAAAAAAACCCACCCCGAGCACAAATATTCCGTTACTTTCGTATCGAAAGTCGGAACAATAATTGAGATCGGTTTTCGAAATTGGAAATCGATCACGTTTTTTGTAACTCTTACACTTTTATTTGTGATGGAAAATCTGATCAATGAAATATAGCTTCGAAATTAGAAGTTGATCACGTTTTTTGTTTGATAGGATGTTAATTACGTTTGATAGGAGGTTGATTTTGTTTGATCACATTTTTTGTTACACTTTCGCTGTTTGATTATGTCTGCTTTTCGTTCAACAAAGGAAATGAATTTGCTGAAAAAGAAAATGAAGCTCAAAATAAACCGCAAAAAATTAATTTGAGTCCAAACTGTTCCTCGAAAAAAAACTAACAAAAGTTATCAAGACTAATATGAGACTCTAAACTAAGTTCATAGACTCTTAAAGATTACTTCAAGACAGATTTTTTTTGGCAAGCTAAGCGTAAAGGGCAACTAAAATGCTATCTAGCTCTGAATGATTGCTTTTGACTAGCTTTAGGCAGATTGAAACCAAACATAAATTTTCCATCTTTATACCTTTGCGATTAACAATGTCCTTGCAACGGGGTCATAGATTTTGTCTCATTTTTATTCACATGACTTTTCTGGACTCACAGTTTACTTTATGAGCATATCAATTTCAGTTCGTTTTACGAGCTATCAATGTTTCTCGCGTCGCAAAGATATTGTCCTTTGGACCACAAAGGTAAGTTGCTCGAGTCTTGCCGGGACCTGCACTTTTTGCCAAACTGGAAATATTCTGCTTGTAAAATCAGTTTTTCGCATGATCGTGATTTTACTGGCTAATTTTTGCTAACATTTCAGCAATTTAATATATTTTAGAATGTCATATTTGATGTTTATAATGTGGATTGATTTTGCACGTAATCACAAGAAATCAAGGAATGTCAATGAAATCAAATGTGTAATTTTATATTCACTCTATACTGATATCTTCAAAAATAAATTATCAACGCCACCTGATGCATGATAGCGAGGAGACCTTCGAGACGTGTGCAGGTGGGACTGAGGCCTCCATTGGAGTCGAACGAGAACTTCACCCTCCCTTCCCCAGGCATCCTTTTCTGCTCCGATATCAGTTTAGTCGATACCTACAAATTCCAAATTGCACATACCAAAGTAGAGTTGTTTTTCTTTTCATAATTTTCTGACATTTGCATAGACATAGAACGTATAGATAGTTATAAATAAAACTTTCGAAAAACAAAGTAATTTTCTGAGTTCGCTCGAAAAACCAAAAAAACTTATATTGATGACAAATTGTTCTCTCCCACCCCCTGAATTAGCCCCTGATCGTTTCAAACTCCAATCCAAATCAAAGGCCTCAAGGGATTTAAGGAAACAAACTTGATCACCAACGAACGAACTTGCTTAGAAGTACCCGAAACCGCAAGAAAAGAAAAAATCCTAAGCCGTAGTTCTTTCCCACACTTTGACGGTGGCTAGAGAACAAAAACAAATTCGTCTGAAGCCTCACCTTGAGTGCATGTTTAATCAGCATATCTCGGTCCATGGGTCTTAGTAGATCGGACTTGAGCAGTTCTCGGGTCGCAATAAGAGCCCAATGGTCTGGCAACACCTCACCCACTGCTTGACTCTCCCGCTGCGACGCCAGATACTTCATGGCCTTCAGGGCCACTGTGAACCATTTTTCCTCGCGAGTCAACTGGTGAAACATCGTCAAACCCAAACACGCCTCTCCTGGGTAATACAACGAGATGAAACTCGTTACGGCTGAGTTTTTATCCAACTTTGAACTAAACTGTCCGCTCGGTTTTTGCATAGATTCAATAAAAGCTGCTATTTTTTCCATAGTTTCAACAGAAATTAAACTTTGGGATATTTTTTGGGCTTTCGTAAAGGCAACCAGAGACAACCCGGCTCCTCCCAATTTGGCCTCCTGGTCGTCCATTTTAGTCTCGGGGTACTTAGACCACACGGCCAGTACGTTGTCATTGTTTTTCACTGGCTCCAAACGGGAGATGAGCCAAGAGGCAGTCTTGGTGATTGCATCTTCTAATGAAGTACTGGGGAACTCTTCGTTGATTGTTGCTAGCGAGTAGATTGTCCCTGCGTGACGTAATAAGTTATAGCTCTCAGAGATATGCACATTTTTGTTCATGTTGACCTGGTCAAAACCCAAAAAAATGTCAGTATTACTACAAATTGAACTTGAAATTTAAAAGTAACGCACATACTCTGTATATGAAACTATTGTCTGATTTGATTTGCCTTAAGATGTAATCTCTCGACATCTGGATTCTCTCTGGCAGCGTGAACAGCCCAAAATCTGTCCTTATATGACCTCTACCCTTCTTTTCACCGTCACCAGGACCGTTTTCAATGTTTTTGTAAACATTGTCCTCTGATGGGTTCTGGTTGTGCTTAATCGTCTGTCCATATTTCAAGCCTTTTTTAATTTTGATATTTTTCAAGTGGTAAATCAAGTAAAAAAGGAGACAAAACAAAATAGCAAATTGAATTGCGGTTGCGTTCTTGCGGCAAAACCTACGCGTGTTCATAGTAATTTTTAAGTCTCCATTTATGCAACAGTAGCATTAGATGAATCAGAAGAAACAAAATAAAGACAAGTGGTAAAAAAAGAGCACCAACATAAATTTTAACAAGTGTTCTAAGAAGTAAAAAAGCAGCGTTTTCGTTGCGTAACTGATAAATCAAATGTCAGCTGATGACTTCAGCTTTTGGATTAGTTCCACTTCACTCGTGTTGTTCCAGCCGAATGACCGACATTTAAAACACATAAACTGGTTGGTTCAACGTTTTTTCACTCTAACATATTGAAAAAAAAAATGAATAAAAGGACAAAAAGAATGTAAGGCCTGGTATGCTTTAGTTTACTTACAAGCTAGCAAATGTGTGCTTCTTAAAAATATAAATGATGCGAAGAATAAATAGTGCTTGCATAACTAATGCTGAAATGGTTTAACTTCAAATTGTTGAGCGACGCTATAATAAAAATTGAACATAACAAATATTGCGAATCTTAATTAAACAATTTGGTGTAAAATAAGGTATAAAATTTCTCTATTGTATACGAGTTGAATAGTTTTTCTACAGATAATGTTTTGAAATGTTCTTAAGCTATTAGATTGGGTCATTCTTTAATCGTTTGAGTTGAACAAAACGTATACAGGTTGAATTGAAACGCTCTAACGTATTTTGCTAATGTTGGTGTTCTTTGCTTTGAACTAATCTTCTTAATCTATTCTATTTTCACACTTTCAATGCAACATTAAGCTCTGTTTTCATTTATGCTGGAATGGTTTACAATTTTTTTTGTGAAAAAAATGATCTTTCCAATCATCTTCAATAAATTCCGAGGCGTGCTAGTTGTCGACAAAAATTATAAAGTTTTTGTTGAGTGTCCCGAAAAATATTCCTACCTAACAGGCAGGCCCATTGAATCATTTCAATTAAAAAGCAAAACACATCTTTTTAAGGGATACAACAGACTGTTTTTAAGGGATAATCAGTTCGAACTATGCGCGTTGAATCATCAGATATTTTTTTATTTTCATTCCGACTTTCCAAGAAAGCAATGTAAATATAAGCTTTGGGTTTTTTATTCAGACCAATTTCGTAAAAAAATTCCATTTGGCGGGTCAATTCCTGGATCTTTGTGAGCCCCGCCGGCGCGCACACCACTTAACTAATCTGACACTGTGGTCGCTCTAAACCAATTTGAAACGATTTATAAGACGGATCTCCGCTTACGCGTTAATAGCGCGAATTATATCACGCGTTAATTGTCCCAAATTGGTCAAAATGGCCAAAACGGCAATCTTTAAACCCTCATAACTTTACGATCACAGGTGAAATGATCACAGGTGAAATATCTTTTCGAATTTAAGCGCAGGACAACAATGGCTTTCGAATGATATAAAAAAATTCCGTCAAAAATGGCTAGTTAAAAAGTCGAAATTTGTCTGAAGAAAAAAAAAACCCACCCCGAGCACAAATATTCCGTTACTTTCGTATCGAAAGTCGGAACAATAATTGAGATCGGTTTTCGAAATTGGAAATCGATCACGTTTTTTGTAACTCTTACACTTTTATTTGTGATGGAAAATCTGATCAATGAAATATAGCTTCAAAATTAGAAGTTGATCACGTTTTTTGTTTGATAGGATGTTAATTACGTTTGATAGGAGGTTGATTTTGTTTGATCACATTTTTTGTTACACTTTTGCTGTTTGATTATGTCTGCTTTTCGTTCAACAAAGGAAATGAATTTGCTGAAAAAGAAAAAGAAGCTCAAAATAAACCGCAAAAAATTAATTTGAGTCCAAACTGTTCCTCGAAAAAAAACTAACAAAAGTTATCAAGACTAATATGAGACTCTAAACTAAGTTCATAGACTCTTAAAGATTACTTCAAGACAGATTTTTTTTGGCAAGCTCAGCGTAAAGGGCAACTAAAATGCTATCTAGCTCTGAATGATTGCTTTTGACTAGCTTTAGGCAGATTGAAACCAAACATAAATTTTCCATCTTTATACCGTTGCGATTAACAATGTCCTTGCAACGGGGTCATAGATTTTGTCTCATTTTTATTCACATGACTTTTCTGGACTCACAGTTTACTTTATGAGCATATCAATTTCAGTTCGTTTTACGAGCTATCAATGTTTCTCGCGTCGCAAAGGTATTGTCCTTTGGACCACAAAGGTAAGTTGCTCGAGTCTTGCCGGGACCTGCACTTTTTGCCAAACTGGAAATATTCTGCTTGTAAAATCAGTTTTTCGCATGATCGTGATTTTACTGGCTAATTTTTGCTAACATTTCAGCAATTTAATATATTTTAGAATGTCATATTTGATGTTTATTGATTGATTTTGCACGTAATCACAAGAAATCAAGGAATGTCAATGAAATCAAATGTGTAATTTTATATTCACTCTATACTGATATCTTCAAAAATAAATTATCAACGCCACCTGATGCATGATAGCGAGGAGACCTTCGAGACGTGTGCAGGTGGGACTGAGGCCTCCATTGGAGTCGAACGAGAACTTCACCCTCCCTTCCCCAGGCATCCTTTTCTGCTCCGATATCAGTTTAGTCGATACCTACAAATTCCAAATTGCACATACCAAAGTAGAGTTGTTTTTCTTTTCATAATTTTCTGACATTTGCATAGACATAGAACGTATAGATAGTTATAAATAAAACTTTCGAAAAACAAAGTAATTTTCTGAGTTCGCTCGAAAAACCAAAAAAACTTATATTGATGACAAATTGTTCTCTCCCACCCCCTGAATTAGCCCCTGATCGTTTCAAACTCCAATCCAAATCAAAGGCCTCAAGGGATTTAAGGAAACAAACTTGATCACCAACGAACGAACTTGCTTAGAAGTACCCGAAACCGCAAGAAAAGAAAAAATCCTAAGCCGTAGTTCTTTCCCACACTTTGACGGTGGCTAGAGAACAAAAACAAATTCGTCTGAAGCCTCACCTTGAGTGCATGTTTAATCAGCATATCTCGGTCCACGGGTCTTAGTAGATCGGACTTGAGCAGTTCTCTGGTCGCAATAAGAGCCCAATGGTCTGGCAACACCTCACCCACTGCTTGACTCTCCCGCTGCGACGCCAGATACTTCATGGCCTTCAGGGCCACTGTGAACCATTTTTCCTCGCGAGTCAACTGGTGAAACATCGTCAAACCCAAACACGCCTCTCCTGGGTAATACAACGAGATGAAACTCGTTACGGCTGAGTTTTTATCCAACTTTGAACTAAACTGTCCGCTCGGTTTTTGCATAGATTCAATAAAAGCTGCTATTTTTTCCATAGTTTCAACAGAAATTAAACTTTGGGATATTTTTTGGGCTTTCGTAAAGGCAACCAGAGACAACCCGGCTCCTCCCAATTTGGCCTCCTGGTCGTCCATTTTAGTCTCGGGGTACTTAGACCACACGGCCAGTACGTTGTCATTGTTTTTCACTGGCTCCAAACGGGAGATGAGCCAAGAGGCAGTCTTGGTGATTGCATCTTCTAATGAAGTACTGGGGAACTCTTCGTTGATTGTTGCTAGCGAGTAGATTGTCCCTGCGTGACGTAATAAGTTATAGCTCTCAGAGATATGCACATTTTTGTTCATGTTGACCTGGTCAAAACCCAAAAAAATGTCAGTATTACTACAAATTGAACTTGAAATTTAAAAGTAACGCACATACTCTGTATATGAAACTATTGTCTGATTTGATTTGCCTTAAGATGTAATCTGTCGACATCTGGATTCTCTCTGGCAGCGTGAACAGCCCAAAATCTGTCCTTATATGACCTCTACCCTTCTTTTCACCGTCACCAGGACCGTTTTCAATGTTTTTGTAAACATTGTCCTCTGATGGGTTCTGGTTGTGCTTAATCGTCTGTCCATATTTCAAGTCTTTTTTAATTTTGATATTTTTCAAGTGGTAAATCAAGTAAAAAAGGAGACAAAACAAAATAGCAAATTGAATTGCGGTTGCGTTCTTGCGGCAAAACCTACGCGTGTTCATAGTAATTTTTAAGTCTCCATTTATGCAACAGTAGCATTAGATGAATCAGAAGAAACAAAATAAAGACAAGTGGTAAAAAAAGAGCACCAACATAAATTTTAACAAGTGTTCTAAGAAGTAAAAAAGCAGCGTTTTCGTTGCGTAACTGATAAATCAAATGTCAGCTGATGACTTCGGCTTTTGGATTAATTCCACTTCACTCGTGTTGTTCCAGCCGAATGACCGACATTTAAAACACATAAACTGGTTGGTTCAACGTTTTTTCACTCTAACATATTGAAAAAAAAAATGAATAAAAGGACAAAAAGAATGTAAGGCCTGGTATGCTTTAGTTTACTTACAAGCTAGCAAATCTCTGCTTCTTAAAAATATAAATGATGCGAAGAATAAATAGTGCTTGCATAACTAATGCTGAAATGGTTTAACTTCAAATTGTTGAGCGACGCTATAATAAAAATTGAACATAACAAATATTGCGAATCTTAATTAAACAATTTGGTGTAAAATAAGGTATAAAATTTCTCTATTGTATACGAGTTGAATAGTTTTTCTACAGATAATGTTTTGAAATGTTCTTAAGCTATTAGATTGGGTCATTCTTTAATCGTTTGAGTTGAACAAAACGTATACAGGTTGAATTGAAACGCTCTAACGTATTTTGCTAATGTTGGTGTTCTTTGCTTTGAACTAATCTTCTTAATCTATTCTATTTTCACACTTTCAATGCAACATTAAGCTCTGTTTTCATTTATGCTGGAATGGTTTACAATTTTTTTTGTGAAAAAAATGATCTTTCCAATCATCTTCAATAAATTCCGAGGCGTGCTAGTTGTCGACAAAAATTATAAAGTTTTTGTTGAGTGTCCCGAAAAATATTCCTACCTAACAGGCAGGCCCATTGAATCATTTCAATTAAAAAGCAAAACACATCTTTTTAAGGGATACAACAGACTGTTTTTAAGGGATAATCAGTTCGAACTATGCGCGTTGAATCATCAGATATTTTTTTATTTTCATTCCGACTTTCCAAGAAAGCAATGTAAATATAAGCTTTGGGTTTTTTATTCAGACCAATTTCGTAAAAAAATTCCATTTGGCGGGTCAATTCCTGGATCTTTGTGAGCCCCGCCGGCGCGCACACCACTTAACTAATCTGACACTGTGGTCGCTCTAAAACGAGTCTAATTTAACTACTACTTTAGATCTTACAAGCTGAATTGCTGTTGCGCATTTTGTATGCGTGTCAAAAAATACGACACTCCACAATCGTTCCAAATAGGTTTGCGGCAAGCCAATGGATTGTATAATTTACTTATACGAAACAATTTTAAGCATTTCAAAATTGGATATTATCAGCCTAAAGTTCATAGTTTGTCTAAATTGATCTTGTTATACTTTATGTCAAAATTATTTTTAAAAAATATCAAAAACAATCAGTAGAAAATAATAGCGAGTTCCGGCGACTATGAAAAATGCACAACATGTTCAATCCAAGATTTTACAACAAAAAAAATGAAACGATCTGTTTATTATAATATATCTACTACACAATTTTTCTATGAGTAATCTTTGTAATCATTTAAAATTCTTGAGCTAATATTTTGGGTCGTATTCAAAAGCTTGCGTTGAATAAAAACCATTTAATTTGAGTTGAAAGCTCTGAGACACTTTACCAATGACACTCTTTACTGTTTGAGTTATAATGTTCTTTTTTGTTTTTGTTCCGGTTTTCGAAAAAATGCTAAATTATTTATTTTGGTTTTTTTTTCTATTCAGAACAGTTTTTTAAAAAAATAAATTTTCCAATTGGGTGATTAGTTTCTATATCTCCATAAGCCAGCCACGCGAGCTAATCTGACGCTATGGTCACTCTAAAATGAGTTTACTAACCTGCTCGATTAATACTTAGATGCTAAATTGCTGCAAAGCTATTCATTTATGCGTCTCGAAATATATCGCACTACGAAATCATTTCAACTTGAATTGAGTAAGCTAATTAGTGGTATCAGTTACATATACGAAACAACTTTCAACACTTTGATTTTATAAGCCAAAAATAATACTTTGTCAAAATTGATTTAACGAAAACCGATTGAAGACCAAAATAAAGTGCAGTCGGAACATTCGGAGCCTTGCCCAATAAGAGCAGGCCTATTAAATTTTAATCAATGTTTTTTCCGTTTTTCACTAAACTATTGATAAAAGCCTGGAAAACTTTTTAGCTGGTTTCTACGGAAAAGCACAGAAAAGCTTGATCACTAATAATAAATCAAAATATAAAAAAACTGCAAATTATAACTTATGTTATTACTATTATGATTCTATATTTAATTTTTTAAAATTTTTTAAGATGTTATATTGGGTGATTCTTTAAGATTTTTAATTGAACAAAATTTATGATTTTTGAATTGGTTAGCGCTATATGCATTTTTTTTTGTTTTGTCTATCTTATTCGAATTATTACATGCTCAATGCAATGCTAAGCTCTGTTTTCACGGAAAGTAGAATAGTTGAAAAAAAATTTTTAACGAAAAACAGTCTTAGATTCCGCTAAAAATCAGTAGATTTAACATTGTCGACGGGTATCCCGAGAAAATAATCCTACCCAACAGGCAGGCCAAATCAATCGTTTCAATTTAAAAACAACTCACATCTTCTCAAGGAATACAAAAAATCCAAAATAAGTTAAATCTTTGCGGGTTCAATTATTATGACTGTCAAAGAAAACTATGAAAACATCTGATTCGGTTTTTCTATTCAAACTAATTTTTCCTTTGGGAAATTCATTAATTTATCACCGTGAGCCTGGCAGGCGCGCTCACCAGTATTCTAACCTAACGCTATGGCTGCTCTGTAAGTGTTTAACTAAAAGGCTTGATTATTACTATGATATTGAAATATTGTACGGCAGTTTGTTTATGCGAGTCGAAAAATGGGCGCGCTCACCACTATTCTAACCTAATGCTATAGTTGCTCTGTGAAGTATCTAAAAAAATTGCTTGCTTACTACTTAGATGCTCAAATGTTATACGAAAATTTGAATATGCGTGTCGAAAAATGTCAACATTCAAAACTGTTCAAAATTGAATTGAGGAAAATTAATGTTTCGTCTTATTAATATTTACGAAACAAAATTTATTTTTTTAAATTTGTTATTATTACCCTAAACAGGTAGTTTGTCAATATTGACCTTGAGAAAAATTATTGGAGACCAGTTAAAGGACAGTCGGATTATTCAGAACTTTGCCTCAATGAGAGCAGTCGTGTCGTTCTTTGTCTCAGTGTTATTGCGACTAAAACTTTGATAAGAATCTTCAAAAAATTAACCCGCAAATTTCAAAAAACTACTGACATTATTTTTTAAAGTAGTGTTTTAAGACCTTTTCACCTATTATATTGCGTAATTTGTTAAATCGTTTGAACTGAACAAAACATACAAACTTGCTTTGAAACGCTCTAACGTTTTTTTTTCTAATGGTACGCTTTGCATGGTTTATATCTTAAACTGTAATACTCTTTCATTGTCACGCCAAGGAAGTTTAATAAATTGTTTTAGTAGATTTTTTTAAATAGCTCCATTAAATACTGTGGCATCTAGTTTTTGACAAAAATCAGTAGAGTTCACAATGTTGATGGTTGTTCTGAGAAGTATTTCTACCAGACAGGCAGGCTCAAAAAATCAATTCAATTCAAAAGCAACTCACAGTTTTTAAGGAAACTAAAAGATTAATTTTAAGGGATACAAGAAATTGCAAAATCAAATTAAAATAGACGGTTTGAATTTTCATGTTCTGTTCAATTTTGTTACACTTTCGGAAAAAGTTATGAATATAAAAGATTATTGTTTTTTTTTAAAAATACCAGTTTCGAAAAGAGCACTTTCAATATCGGAGGATTCTTGTATTTTGAATTGAAACGCTCTAACGCATATTGTTTATATCATTTTCCCCTTTTCTCTCTTCTAAACATTAAGACACTTTCAATGCAAAGCTATGCTCTATCTTCACGCATTGTAAAAAGGTTTAAAAATTTATCTTTGTGGAAAAATTTGTATTTCCATCATCAATAAAATCAAGGCATCCTGAGTTTCGACAGTAACCAATAGAGATTTACTTTTGTTACTGGTTGTCCCGAGAAGATATTCCTACTAACCAGGCAGGTGAAGCAACGCGCAGCTTTTTAAAAGTTACAAACAAATGCTTTTGGAGGATACAAAATCATCAAAATTAGCTCAAACTTTGCTGTTTGAATTATCAAGTTTTATTTGTCTTATTCCAGTTTTCAAAAAGTAATAATTAATTTATATGGTTTGGTTTCTTTCTATTCAGGTCAATTTTAAAAAGATTATTTTTCTAATGGGGTAACGATTTTTACATCTACAGAAACCAGACAGGCGCGCAAAGCATTATACTAAGCTGACGCTATGGTTGCCTTAAAATAAGTTTAACTACACTGCTAGTTTGATACCTAGAACTATATGCTGAATTGCTGCAACGCTATTCATTTAAACTTGTTGAATCATCGTGCACTACAAAATGTTTCAACTTGAATTGCGTAAGTTTCTTGATCCTATAATTTATATATACGAAACAAGTTCCAGCACTTCAAAGTTTGATATTATCAGTCTAAAACTATTAATTTGCCAAAATTGATTTGACCAAAAACTATTGGAGACCAGATAAAGGACAATTCTCAATAAGAGCAGTCCTGTCATACTTAATTTCATTCTAAATTAATTTATAATATTAAATATTATAATATATTAAATTAATGATACGAATCTGGAAAATTATATAGCCGAATTCTATGGAAAAAGCACAGAATAGTTTGAGCATAAACAATAATTCAAAAAAGAAAAGAAAACCGCTGGTTGTAAGATACCTTCCTTTAGCATTATTGTTTTATAATTCTTGTTTTATAATATGTTTGAAGAGAAGAAAACTTGATTATTTTGAATTTATTATCTATAACGCATTTCGGTTCTGATTTTTTTTTGCTTTTTCTATCTTCTTCAGACTAACAAACTTTCTAGGCTATGCTACGCTCTCTTTTCACGTAAAACGGAATGGTTGAAAAGATATGGACAACAATTAGTCTTAGATTTCAACAAAAAATCATTAGATAAAACATTGTTAATGAATGTCCCGAGAAAAAATTCCTGCATAATAGAAAAGCCTAATAAATCATTTCAATATATGTGAAACGCACAGCTTCTTAGGTGATAAAAAAAATTGTTCAAATCATGCGGGTTGCAAAATCATGTATGATTCGTTTTTTTCTTCGACTTTTGAAAAAAATGATGCGCGTATATGCTTTCAGCTTTTTTATTTGGGTTGTTTGGGAACCTATTCCGATGAGTCCCACCGAGCGTGCACACCACTATTTTTTTCTGACACTATAATTTCTATGAAACGAGTCTAATTAAAATGCTCGATCAAAATTAAG